GGGGAGAACTATCCAACCAAAAACATCATTATATAAAGAAAAAAACATTAATTACACCCACCTATAAAAGAAAAAGGATTCAATTATCTTATCCAAAATGTGGATAGTCTCCCAACACTTCTTAGCCACAAGCACACTTTTAAGGAAAAAACAAATGCCACCTTTCGGCAAAAACGAATACTCCAATATGCAAAATAAACAACGATGTACGTCACTCCGTACAAGGGATCACTAAAACAAAATAAAAAATCAACAAAGATTACCTAAAAAATAATTTAATTTTTTGAACAAAATTAATTAAATCGAAATTACTTATATTAGTAATAAGTTCCAAAAAATTCTCCAACGGAATAATAGAAGTTCCAAACACACTTTCCCGAATTTTTTCTAACTTAGAGCATTTAGCAATCACGTGAAAAGCATCCAATAGCTGATCATCCTGACAATACATGCAAATTTCTCTGCGATAATTCTATAAAAGAAAAAGGATTCAATTATCTTATCCAAAATGTGGATAGTCTCCCCGTATTAAATAATTAAATTAACTTATTATTTTATAGAAATTTTTCAGCAAAAAGACCTTGGTTTTGTTTTTTGCATTTTTAACAAAATTTAGTTAAACCTGAAAAGGTTTTTCAGGTTTAACTTTAGAATGCTTTTTTCAATTTCAAATCTGATTGTACTGTTGAATCTAACATAAAAAATCCTTTGAAGTTTTTGCGTCACAAGATAAGAGTTATCATTTTAAATGTTAAAATTAATGCCTTTAAAGTTAAATTATTAAAATAGCATGCAAAAATGCAATTTTTGGATCTGTTAATAAAGCCAAAGTTTTTATCTATTAAGACAAGAGCTAGAAGTCTGACACATCCTTTCTGGGACACATTGTGTATGTAATAATTATAATAAAATGCATTATAAAAATAAATTTATGATATAAAAAGAAAATAATTTATAAAAATGACCAAAGATATCAATAAACCATTAAGAATTATCATTGGTTTAGATAAAAATGTGACAAGAAGGCAAATGATTGAAAAATGGAACTCTGTATACTAAATATTATTCTGTAAGAACATAGTGTGTGTATAAAATTACTATATTATATATAAAATTTACATTCCAATTATATATGCTTTTTTTTATTACATGTTAATATAAAAACTACTAAATTCTATTTTATGATGATGATAAAAAATTTATAAAAATGATATTGTTTTATGAAAATGCATGAAATTTATCACTATAATGTGAATTACTTTATAATTTAATATATAATTTTTACTGCTATTTTTGACTGCTATTTATTTTATTGCTGCTATATTTGACTGCTATTTATTTATTAGAATAATTTTTGACTACTATTTTCAAGCAGTCAAAAATTTTATTTAAAAACTCTTTTAGCCATTTACACAGCTATCTTCAGCTAACATGAATACAAAATAATAGTATAGAATGATATAGATTTTTACATTTTGCTTTTGTATTTTGTATTTGGAGTGGCTGTTTAAGTGGGTGGAAGCATTTTAAAATAAATTTTTAATTGCTTAAAAATAACAGCTTAATTCTGGTATAAATTGTTTCGTTTAATTTTAAATATAATTTTATTTCTTTTTTTTAAATTTGTTTTTTGTTTTTCTGTGAAATTTAATTTAAGAAAAAGAAATGAAAATTATTACGTTACCAAGAAGTGAAACAAAAATTTAATGTTTAAATTACTAATATTAATATATAAATAATATTTTTCAATATTTAATACTTTCAATATTTTTAATATCAATTAATATGCTTATAAAACTTTATTAAATAATAAATAAATAAAAATTTTTAACTAGAGCTAAAATATATGTAATGTGATATACAAATAACAGTTTTCTTTAAATTAAATTAAACAAAAATATATCAATGATTTGTTTGTACATTTATAACTTTCACGCTTTAGGCATTCAATGGTGTTGGTGTGAATTTAAATGAGCTTTTCTTGAGAAAGAAGAAGGATTATTCAATGATTGTGGCAATCTCAAGCATATTTACTACTAATAATATGGATTTTACTTATAAAGGCTGGAATTGAACAAAATCCGGGACCTTTATCACATTATACAATGAAGAGAAGGTGACCTCCAATGACCAATAGCAGCAATGCCATTAAGGTGTCTAAATCAACCCATGTAGAAACTATGCTCCGCAACCAATCTGTGACTTCTATGGATTTGGAGAGACATGAAAATGTATATGAAGAAGAAAGGAAAAATAATTTTGAATCTACACTAGTGGATTGCCTTGAGTTGATGGAGAGAGATGATAGTTCATTGGCTGCCAGTTTATTATCATAAAATGGCAGCCAATGATTGAAGCTTGAATTAGTTGACATTAATTAATGTGTGAGGCTTGTTAGTTGACACTAATTCAAGCCTCACATAGTTCTATAACTGACTAAATTTTGGAGGTTAAGACAGAAATTAAGACAAAAATTGGTTTACAAAGGAAACTAAATCAGATGCAGGAATATTTTTTCCAACTGAAAGATTTCCAAGATTAATCCAAATAAAATGTATATCTATATTTCGGAAAGGAGGAAGAATGGCCAAGCAGGATTATGATTTTATCTCTTATATGATAAATTAAAGGTAGTTGATGAAATTTCATACTTAGGAATTCAGTTTACTGCAACATTATTGTTTGGAAAACATTTCCAAAGAGTACGGAATAAAGCAGTTAGAATAAAAAATAATTTATCTCCTGGCTAAGATGAAAATTAATTTAATACAAAAACAGTTTCAGCTCTTTTCTTTAGTAGTGATAAACTTGATATGTTATGCTCTTCCAGTATGGAACATGGATTGATTGTCTCACTTTGAGAAAATACAATTATTATATATAAGAAAAATTTATTGTTTGGACAGGGCTGTACCTGGTTATGCAATTTGTCATAACACTATTAAGTTACAATTAAAGCCTTTCATGGTAATAAGAATCATGAGGTTTTATAAGAGTGGTGAGAATATACTGATAACTAACATATTGGAAGGGCTTAAAAGATTAGCTGAGGTTAAAAGGTGTTACACTAATATTGTCACAATAAATTTAATCTTATGTTGGACAGATATGGGATATCACATACATTATTTAACAATATGGAAGCGGATTAGGACTTCGGATTTACTACCTTAGTGGAAAATTATAACTCAGTTGATCAAGAAATGAAAAAATTACAGAATTCAAAATTTCATTCATGGTATATCAACAGCCTCGGCTTTCCTCCTCAATGGTTATATTAACTTTCAAATCCCATTAAGATGAAAATGTTTTATATGCAGCTTAGATTGAACAGTTTTTATGTAGTGGTTGATGCAAATTATCTGAATATCAAGAATAGTCAATGCGGAATGTGTCAAGATCAATTTTATATTTACCATTTAATTCATATATGTAAAGAATGTGTAAATCTTAGCGGACAATTTGATACTTCTACTTTGACTATGTGTAAATCTATGGAAGAACTGTACCACAAGTTATTTCAAATGGGTCCAACCGTGATAACAAGAGTATATAACTTTTTCAACAGATATATTAAACTATTAGAGGATCACAGCAGCAAAATAAAAAAAATGAGGCTTGAATCAACACTTATTGATTTAACACTGTGTGTATAGGTGTCCCATAAAACAGTTTCCAATGTCATAAGAAACTATTTTATTTCTGTTCAATTTTTGTTTGTGAAGATTTAATTTTATGTAAGCAACTGATAGCTGGATTAACTCCAAAATATGCTAATAAATTTGAATTTGAATAATTTTCATTTTATTTATTTAGCTAGAAATAACATTTGATATTATTTTAAGATTTGACTTTCAAATAAATCAAACAGCAAGATAAAAAATAGGCAAGCTTACTATTCAAAAAAGACATTAAAATATCATATTTATGTAATAACCAATAAAGTTTATTAATAGATTTTAATAAACAATAAATATATATGTAACAAAAAAAATTAAAATTAAAATTTTATTTAAATACATAGATGGATATCTGCATATTGTGATGCTCTATCCTTCAGATCAAGCCATTATTTTATCAGTTATTTATCTGAAGTTACATCTCTTTTATGTGGAATTTCAACATCTTTAAATACTTGGTAAGTTGTTTTTTTTTTTTTTTATAGATTCCATAAACACAAATTAGTATTAATTAGTAAACTTAGTTTTTTAAACATAGCATTTTTTATTTAATTTTTATTTATGTATAATGTTGTTATAATTGTATATTTTTAGTATAATAGATAATTTTTAATGATCTATTGAAACTTATGTGAAGTTTAACTTTTAAGTTTATAGACTTTTTGACAGTAATTATGTTTTTAATAAAAACAATCAAATTAAATTAGTGGTTAGATCTGTTTTTATCTCAGACCTATGGTAAGATTTTTGTAGTGTACATTGTAATAAAGTTTACTATATACAAATATTACTTTTAGTTTTGTATTAAATGTCATTTAAAAAATTGTAATAATAAATAGTACATGTAAAATATGAATCATTATATACATAAGCAATGAATTCATTAAAGAAAAAAATAATAAATCTGTTTAAAAACAAACCCCATTTATTTTGTTATCTTGAGTTAAATTCTTTCTGTTATTTTCTTAGTGTATTCATTCCCATTTCAAATATTCATTAGATTAAGTTTTCTATTAATTTTTTTTTTGGACAATATATAATTTGTTTTAATAGTATTTATTATTTATATAGTTTGTTTACTATGATGTGATTATGTCAAATGGTTTTGTGTTTCTGTTAATTTGCTATCAATTTCATTCTCCAACAAAATTTCAAACATATAAATCAAGGCTGGTGGTATCTTTTGTTTATTGTACAGTGAAACCTTTAACGGATGCTTCTACTTAATGGGCATTTTTACAATCCCCAGACTCTTCAAATAGGATATCTATAATATTTACCTCTAAATAACAGGTGCTGTCATCCATAACCTACCTAATGAAAACACAAACTCCTGCTTTCAATATTCTGAAATAATTAATTACATACAAAATATTTTAAAACTAAAACAAAGAATTGGTTCAAATAGTCTTTTAGAGGACGAATTATGATCATAGGTGTTGAATAAAGATTGGCTTAAAATAGGAATAGGGGAGGAAGCAGGTTGTAAAAAGTCAAACCATATTCTTTATCTGTTAGAGAAGACTTGTCAATCACCACTTATCATCATACATATTAATGTTATTAAAGTTCTTTCTTATTGTTGGAATTATGCTTATGATACTAAGAAACCATAAACTTTTCTGAAGTTATTCATTCATTTGACAAGAACTGTAGTACAGTAGTAATGAAAAGGAAACAGTTTTAAGGTTAAGACAACAGTACTTATTTTGTGAAAGTTCAAAGATTGTGTGGTGAATGTGATTTGCTAACCACTTTAAAGTGTGGGAAGATATTGAT